ATTATCCGAATCAATTGGGGACTGGGGTTGTTCGGAAGATCGATGTTTCGGATAACCGATTATGTACGAAAAAAAATATTAATTTATCCCATCTTGACATTTTTCTCCGTTGCGTGTCGCTTTGCGTTGAATTTTCGTCGATGTTAAGCCTAACGAAGACTATTGTATTGTTAAAAATTTTTTTTTTATTTTGTACAAACAAAATAAATATATTGAAAAATATAAAAACAAAAAAAATTATACTTCAGAAGTTAATTTAGTATCAAAAACGTAAAATATTTGAGTAGCCCAAGATATAGCCAAAGATTGCAGCGCCACAGCACTGGCAAAAATTTAAATTTGCCAACTGGAATTCTTTTGGATGATTGACGTTTCGGATGATTGACTTTTGGATAATCGACGCTCTACTGTATTTAATTATAGCCTTTACATAGCCCAAGAATTTGGCATATCATTTGGCATCTTCATCAGACATATTGTCTGTGATTTTTTTGTTTTCTGCAAATCGAATTCGCATTCCAGGTTGGTTCATTTCGTGCTAGAAGAAAAGATGATGATTCACACTTCTTAACAATGTATATTGTGTAAGTTTCTTTGAATAAACGTTATACATAAAATATTTGAGTATTTTAATCGGCATGGAACACATTATTGTATTGTACATTAATTTCTATGGGAAAAACTGTTTTGCTTAACGAGTGTTTCACATTACAAGTAAGATTCTGGAACAAATTATGCTCATTAAGTGAGGTTCCACTGTAATATTTCTTTCTAAAAATATCAAATTATAAAATTGAAGTATAAAAAATCTGTCTGCTGGAACCAATATGGAAGGTTTCTGTGGGTAGTTAAAAAAACGTAGAATTGTTTGTTGCAATAAAATTATATACTATTATTAATCTAACAGATTTCTCTTATGTTGTTATTAGGGAAACTTCGGAGATGTGTACAAAGCAGTGCTTCATCCAACAGGGATTGAAGTTGCTGTGAAAACATGTCGAGTTAATTTACCTGATGAACAGAAAAGAAAGTTTCTTCAAGAAGGTCGGATATTAAAGCAATACAGTCATCCAAATATTGTGAAATTTATAGGCATTTGTGTACAGAAACAACCAGTCATGATAGTAATGGAACTTGTTCCTGGTATGTTATAAATTTTTTTCTTCTTGCTTTATTCAAAAAATTACAAGCAAGATTGAGGAGATGTAAGAAAAATGACTTTCCTCACATAATCAATATAAATAAATTTTGCATAGAATTTTTCACTAAAAAAATCTTAAAATTTGAGTTCAAACTCATGGTGCATTTTAGAATTGATGAAATATAATTAAAGATATATACAATCCCTGGCAAAAAGTATTTGATACTGTTTGCCATTAAATTTAATTGCCATAAAAACCTTTTGAAATTAAGATAAACAAAAATAAGTACAGTATATAATAAAGCCAAAATTAAATACAATTATTTTTATTACACCACTGTATTTAATATAAAGATTTTGAATAATATGAAACAAAACGTAATACAAGTTGAATTCACTTGATAGTATAAAAAAGTATGTAATTAACAAAACAATGGAGAAAAGTTTACGAATTTTGATGGTTAATATTTTGTGATCTGTCCTTTAGTCTTGATAACAGCCTTAATTCATCTTTGAAGTGAAGAACTCAGCTTTTCACATATTTCTGGTGTAATTTCCTTCTATCTTTAATAAGTTGAGTCAGTGCTTGATTATCAGTTGGATTACGTTTATTAACATGTTTTTTTTAATTCCCACCAAATATTTTTGACAGGATTCAAGTCATGTCTTTATTGGGGCCATTTTAACACCGAAATTTTTTTTGCCTTAGAAAAGCTTTAACACATAGGGCTTGATGGCAGGGAACACTGTTGTCTTGAAACAAGAAGTTGTCTGAATCTCCAAAGTGATTATGCAATGTTAGAATCAAAAATGTCTCAAGGATGTCCAAATACACTGCAGCATTTACAGATCTATGTATTATACACAATTCTCCTGGTTCTACAGATGAAATATAAGCCCATATCATTAAATTTTGTGGATATTTGACTACCGAACATAAACAATCTCCGTTGAATTTTTCACATGGTTTTTGGTAAACAAATAAATGATCATCATTACTTGCTCCCAAGTTTATTCTGAATTCATTATTGAAAACTTAAAGGATCAATCTTTGTATTGGTTGGCTCAAGTTAGATGTTTTTGTCAATGAGTAGTGATTTTTGCTTTGCATTATTGAATGAATAATCTTTTTCCTTTAATCTATTTCTAACTATATAACTATATATTTTTAACTATATAACTATATATATATATATATTTACTTACATCAACTCCTTGCCTTTTCCATTTTATATTTATTTATTTTGAAGTTGCTTTATGATTTTTATGACATATTTTCACTAATTGTTATCTTGCTTTGGACAGCCACAATGAGAGTGATTTTTTTTTTTTTTTCTTTTTACTGTTCCTGTCAGTCTTGTGTATCTTCCTAACATTTGATACTGTACTAATGGCACATCCAATCAATACTGCAACATCCTTTTGCAATTTGCCTTCTTTTAATAAATGAATTATTTAATATTGCTTTTTCAATAACTCATGTTCAGGAGACATTTTTATTCATTAAAATGTTCAAACTTACATAAATGACACAATGCAAATGAACTTACATCAATATCATTTAATTACAAACATTTCGTATATACTTTTTTATAATGCCACATAAAAAGTTTATTTCAGCAGTAAAAGTTTTTTACTAAAGTAATTATATTTAATTTTGGCATTAGTATATATTTATTTTTCTTCATCTTAATTTCAGAATAGGTTTTTATGGCAACTAAATGTAATGGCAAAAAATATCAAATACTTTTTGCTAGATGTTATATATATAATTAAAAAAATATATTAGTTTTATTCAGACACTCAAAAAACCTTTCTATGCAACAAAAATAATATAATTACAAATGTTTCCAATCATTTATAAAGACTATTTTTGGGTAAAATAAAAAATTGAACAAAAGCAAGAAAATGCAATGTAACAGAAAAACTTTCGAACATAGAGTGCCAATTAGTTTAAATTAAAAATTTTTAATTAAAACAAAAGAATAAATATAAAAATATAATAAATATGTAAGTAAATGATAAAAAGTAACAAAAATAATAATACATAATAAATATAAATAAATAAACAAGGTAAATAAAAGAAGGATGAATACCTTGTATACAGAGAAGTCTATCCAAAACATATCTATTATATTTTTATATTTATTCTTTTATTTTAATTTTTAATTTAAACTGACTAGCATTCTATGTTCCAAACTTTTTCTGTCACATTCCATTTTCTCACTTTGTTCAATTTTATATTTTATGTGAAGATGATCTTTTAAAATGATTGAAAACATTTGTAATTAAATTGTTTTTGTTGTATACAAGGGTTTTTAATGTCTGAATATCCACAGTTGCAGTTTCTGTTTGTTATATTAATTCTAGAATTATGATACTTTGATGCAAATGATTTAAATTGCGAGTCATGCTATTTGAAGTTTTTACAGGATACAGAATAATTTAATGATAATATAATTCATCTTTAATTTTTATTTTCTCTGCTGTTAGGCTGTGTTCAGTCAGGCTTTTCTTATGTTACATTACATTTGGCTAATCAAAGAAGGCATCATTTAAGGTTTTACAAATAACACTTTTGATTGGCCAGACATAAGATAATGTGAAAAGAACCTATCTGAACTCAACCTTACAGACTACAATATATATGGAAAGTAGGATGACCTGTCAAATTTTGACCTCCCAGTTTTTGCATTTCCTACTTAAGGTTTTGATACTCCAGGAGCACAAAAATGTAAAAAAAAAATCTTACAAAATTCTGTGTGTGATGGTGTCTATTTTGCATTATATCTCAGGATGCAATGACCAATGATTTTGAAACTTAACAGGATTATGTCTTTGTATGGGGCATTGGTGCTATTAAATTTTGGAGATTATAAATGAAGGGAGGAGATAGAGGGAAGATCATGTCATATCTCAAGTTGGGTCATACTTAATGAAAATTTAACTCATTGGCATTTACAATTTCTTTAAAAAATTGCCATTACACCCAAAATAGGCATTTGTCATTTTATAATAGTTAATAATATAAAAGTTATTTTTTAAACAAAATATCATAATAGACATAATACACAGTTTTTTCAAAATATTCTGTTTTGAAAAATGAGGAAATTTATCATAATTCAACAAAATTATTTTTTTTAAACTTTTATTGTTATTTAAATTTTATGTTATAGTTTTATTGAAAATTATCAAAATTTCTTGTTGCCTTAACCTCCTCCTCTTAACTGCCCTGAAAAAGTTGTGCAAGAGGCCTTGTCATTTTTTAAACATTTTAATTAAACATATGATATTGGGTTGCAATTTGAAAAAAATTATAGATCTATAAATTTTCACTGTTGTCTGTCTGTCTGTCTCTTTCCTTAATCTCAAGAACAGAGTTAGATAGATGAAATCTGAAACTAGGCATGGAAAGCTTAGGGATCAGAGGCTTTGATTGACTGTATATGAACTTCTGATGCAAACTAGAAATCACATTATTTCAATTAAAAAATGTAAGGAGTTAGATAGATGATGGCATGACTGTTGTTAACAGGAAAAGTATGATGTACAGGGGCAAGACACTACTAATTTGAGGTAGAGGGCATATATTTTAAATTAAATAAATTTAAAAAAGTGATTAAAATTGCAGCCCAGTGTTGTGATGATGTCACAATAAATAATTGCTCATGTTGTTTATAAATATTGTTTTATTATGTTCTGTATATTGTAATAGGTTAATTACAATATGCATCATTTAGATTGTGTAGAATTGCTATAAAGAATGGAATAATTAAGAAAAAATGTATCAGATTGTTTTTAGAAATTTAGTTTTACAGTTAAACATTGTGAAAAGTTTAAAAAAGTTTTTATGGTACTGTCAAATGGCTAAAAATTATCAATATTTTAATTAAATGAAAATTAAGCTGTGTATTTTATATTTGATTTATATGATAAACCTGTGCCAACTCTGGCTAATAAAGGGTTGAAGGTTGTCCAAATTTATGAAAATACCTTGATGACAACATTAATTACTTAGACTATGAAAGTCTGAGTTAATAAGGTATTTTCTCTGATGATATGATAAACAAGAGGATGGATATATAGTACATTAATTTATTTATGATCAACTCTACACAGAAGTTTTACTCAGCTGAGATTTTACTGCTGAATTTATTATTACAGGAAATGAGCTCATAAAATTTCATGACTACAATATACAGTAATGTACAATTTTTAGTAACTTGCCAACTGCAGTAATTATATTATTGCAGTTGGCAAGTTACTAAAAATTGTACATTACTGTAATGCATAGTATAATAAATACTAACATTACTATAATGCATAGTATCATAAAAACTTCTGGATGTTGAAAACATTCATTAATTATAATTTTTCTATTGTAAAGAAATTTTATATTTCTGTTTGAAAAAGTTTGTCCAAGTTAGTGGGAGTTTACTGTAAGTAATAAATCTATCAAAATTTATTCTCTACTAATCATTAATACTTGGTTTATTTAAGGTATGTAATATTCTATTTCCTTGGTTTTGAGTCACCATTGATTCCAAAATGCACCATGAGTTTGAAATCAAATTTCAAGATTTTTTTTTTGCAGGGAGAAATTTTTAAATCAGTTCGATTAAATTCTGTTTAACAACAATAAGTTAATTGTTCATTATCAGCATAGCTCATTTAAACTGATGAGTATTGAGCAATATATATGAAAACATCTATAATTGGTACATTATGCACCAATAATAGATGACTATTGATTTTTGTTTTGAACTACAAATATAGGATGTGCTTCTACTTTTGACATGTTAAAATGAGTAAAAAAAAATGCATGTTAGAAGTAAGGAAATATAGTATACAGTATTTTAAAAAAGTAAATTATGTATATTTTAAAATATGTAATGATTAATAATAATAAAGATAATTACAATTTTAAAATATAAATTATATGCATTATAAAGGATTTAAAAAGAATATTTTTATGCAGATTTATGTGAGCTGAACAATATGAATTATAAAACTGAAATGTGTTCTAGTAAGCAGACAAAATGATTTCAAAGTAGTAAATAAAGCAAATCAGTTCTTCCCTGGAAAATAATTTTATGCAGTGCACACTTGCATAAACTAAAAGCACTTTTTAAATCTTTTTACTGAATACAAACCATTGCAATGCTTATTATTATAAGTGTAATACTGTATTTACTTGCATATAAGATGATGTTTTTATTCATTTTCACTGCTTCAAAAACCTGGTTATCCTATACATGCAAGCGAAGGATTCTTTGCATTTTTGCAGTAATTTTTGTGAACCATGTATTCACATTTTTTACCGGATACTCACCCTCTGCTGTTTAAAAAACAAAAGTATTTTATCTGGGTCATTTGAATCATTCTTGTGTATTGTCAGGAGTAAAGATGAATAGCAATAGGAAAAGCAAAGTTTTTGAATTGAATTCCAAATTGAAATTCCAAAATCGCATGAGACCCTGACCTAAGTTTTAATCCATTCCCATGTGAAAATAGATGATTATTCAGAACTCGGAGAAATTCATAAGTGTAATTGATGGAGAGTGGATTCAACTGGTAAGAATTGGTGAAAAAGGTTCTCGATTGTCCAGCTTTACGTGAACAAATTATGTTGTTGATTTTACAAGATTTTTCCTTAATTTAAGTTTAAAATGCCAGTAATTTTTGTGGGACAATGAGTGCATTTACATGCATTTGATATTTTATTTGTGATTAAATGAAATAAAATTAGAATTGTATCAATAAATCTAATTCTTTATTTTGATCTTTAAAGTCACACCTTGTTTTATATGTGAGATTGTCTTATATGCAAGTAAATATGGTATTTTGTAATTTTTGTTTTGATTCTAAAATTCTTATATTCTTAAATTTACCATGGAATATATAAATTGTTATATGTTCGATTAAGATAAAGGAAGAAATTTAATTCACTGTTGTGAAAAAATGCCTTTCAGTGTATTAGTAAAAGTTATATATAAAATGAATATATTTTTCTGTAGGAGGATCATTGCTAAATTTTCTTCGTTCACAAGGAGTAACACTAACAGTTCCACAACTGATTGCAATGTGTACAGATACAGCAGCAGGAATGGAATATTTGGAAAGTAAAAATTGTATTCACAGGTACAGTTTATATATGTTAATATTTTATAAGTTAATGTGTGTGCAGGACAATCAACAGAGTAACTAGCACAAAAAAAAAAAAAATAACCACCACCACCTTGTTATTTCTGTAATTGCTAAAAAAAATAATTCAATTAATAGTTATTTTGAATAATTATTACTTTTTAGTAATAAATATTTTTTGAAAAAGTTACTTTATAATATATTTAAATATTAAAATTATTATTTTTAATTTGGAATACTTCAGTAACAAATAGAAGTGAAGAAGCACATTGTATTTTGAGTGACTGCAGTATATGACATGATTAGTTGTTTATTGAATTTACTTATTATTTGATTAAAGGGGGAAATACTTGTGAAATTAACAAAAAATCAGAGTTTGAACATTACTAAAATATCATTTAAAACTTTTTGGAATTACTATAATTTAAATTATTTGGTTCAATATTTCCATTTAGTTACATATCTGCAATTATATTTTGCATTACAAAGTTAATTAGAATTATATGTTAAATAAGCACTGATTTAAATTAATATTATGCAAAGAGTATAAATTCTGAACAACTGAATTTTTTTGTGGTAAAATGTATTTATTTCTACCATGAAGGAAATATACGGTCTTTCAGCATTAAATTTATTTACTTGACAAATTTACAACATTTCAAATATCATTCTCAGGCAAACAAAGAATATACAAAATTCAAATAGCAACTTTTAAAAATTTTCTACATTGACCAAACATAAGAACTATTCATAGTCTAAATATGTTGTAAGTGCTAGAACTCGAATGTGTATGAAAATGTTTTGATTTAAAATTAAAGTAAAGAAAGAGGATATTTGCAACATATATAAAATGTGGTTAAATAAAATACAGAAATGGATAACCAAAATAAATCATAGTAAAGTGATTCCTTATACTTCAAATTTAATTCATTCCAGGATTTTGTTTGAATTCTGAATTATTTGAAGTCAAAATTAGCTTTTCCCATTAGAAATAATGGAAGGTGAATTAATTCATTCTCAGCCCTGAGCAATACCTATTTCGATAACCCTCCTCTTCTAGATCTAGTGGGCTTACAAATTCTTTGATGACCATCTTTTGCTATAGATATTTCAATATTTCCTGACAAGAACTTTTTCTATGTCATCAAACACATCTTTCAGATTGCAAACCAATTTTCAATTGAAAAATTTAACTCTTTGGGTTGAGGATAGACTCTCTCAATTGAGTGTTTTTCATAATCATGTTTTCTTCTTTTAGAATCAGGAGAATTGTTCATATTACAGCTTGCGTAGTAGATAGAAAAAAGAATAACAGAATTCAATGCTTCTGAACAATATTTAAAAATGAATCTCTGAGATTCATTGATGTTTGATGCGCTATCCACTATGTTGGAGTGTTAAGGCTATCCTCCTCTCCCATCACTTGTGAACCTTGATCAATATATCCAGCTAAATGCTAGCGCAGGCATCAACTGTTTGTTGCTTAAGATGAATAATGTTGGTTGAAATCTGTGATAACGTGATTTGATTACTCGATATGAGAATGATCTCATTATGTTTTGCTTATGTTAATTGCTATGTTATGAATATAGAAGAAAAATCGTGAATATAGAGTATAATATAGAAGAAAAATCATTTGAATTTTGAGAATGAGTAAAGTTACATTAAAATTAAGTGCATCATTGTTTTCCTGCTGAATTTCTCCACCAATCTGATGTCACACAGAGCATATGCTAGCCTAACAAGTAATTATATATGGTGACATTGTCACAATGCCAGGCTGAAATATTTAATCATATTTTTGATTGATTTAATTTAAAATACATATATATATATATATATAATAATAATATAAAAATAATGCTCTCTACTTCAAATTAGTACTGTAGTGTCTTGTCCCTGTACATCATACTTTTCTGTTAGCAATGGAATTGTGTCAATCATCTATTTAATTGCATTCAGGGGAAGATTTTTAATTGAAATAATGTAATTTCCTGTTTGCATTGGAAGTTAATATATAGTTAACTGGGGCCTCCTGCCCCTAAGCTTTCCATATCTAGTCTCAAATTTCATTTATCTAACACTGTTCTTGAGATTAAGGAAAGACAGACAGATGGACAACAGTGGGAATTTATAGGTCTACAATTTTTTAAATTGCAGCCCAAAAATTTGAGCCATAGTGGCTTATTAGGTTTGTAAATGGGAGTCAACTTAAGTACAGTAGAGCATTGATTATCCAACTCAATTGGGGACTCAGGTTGGTCGGATAACTGAAAAAATCGGATAACCGAAAAGAATGAAAAAAATACATTATTAGTATAGTATATTAGTATATCGCTATTAACCAACTTCGCGTTGAATTTTCATGGATGTTAAGCCTAACAAATTTTTTTAAAAATAATAATCGTCGCTATTGTAGCGTTAAAAATTATTTTATTGCTCACAAAACAAACAATCACTCAATTTATTGCTCACAAAACAAACAACCACTCAATTTATTGCTCACAAAACAAACAACCACTCAGTATTTAAACAAGACTTAATTAGAAAATTAAGTCTTGTTTAAATACTGGCCTCCCTTCAATGGTTGAGCCGGTGTTGCCAGCTAAAACACAAAAAATTTAACAAAAATAATATTAAAGTAGCCAAGACATAGCCAAATATTGTAGTGCCACATCACTAGCGGACATTTAAAATTTGCCAACTAGAACGGTCGGTTAATCGATGTGATGGTTAATCGGGTGTCGGATAATCGATGCTCTACTGTAATTCATGAGTCACATCATTCAGTTTTGAAAAATGCATTTATTGTGTACATTGTACAATATTACAAGTTGAAATATTTTGCAGATATATATATATATATATACATCTATACTCAAACCTGATGCATTGCAATGACTTACCAACAACTGCCATAAATTATCAGGCTATAATTTGGAAGCTATTACAACTGTTAAGAAATACTGCTCTGGCACACTTATTGGTGGCCAGATTTTTTCATTGTCCCTAGCTCAAAAAAATTTTTTTTTTTTTCACACCCATTTTGCACTAAATTTTGGAAAATTTCTGGTTAAATTCTCATATTTGTATATTAATTTTTGCAATTTCAGCTATTTTTTTCAAAAAAGTGAAAATTTGTCCAGAATTTATCCACAATTGCTCTAAGTGTAAAAAAAATTTGTGTATGCCTAAGCTTGTCATTTTTCTCCTGGAATTTAGAAATTTAGGCATCTATATGACCATCTGGCAGCCCTGATATGTCTCATGTCCTTCAAGCCTGCCTACCCTTCAAGCCTGCCAATGTCGTAACCCTCTGCAAGGTTACGACATTGCAGAGTCAATCTGATAAGCCTATACTCATTCAAGTAGTGCACGTCTTAACCTTTACCCAATGGAGGGCAGCCCAACTTTGGTTAGACTGTTGGCCCCTATGTCATACAGTGTTTGCATTCTTGATCCTGTACTATTGCATACACCAGACACAGTTTACTGATAGTTGAACATCAAATTTCAATGAGTCACAAACTGACTTGCCAGTGAAAATATTGCAAAGTCGTGGAAATATTAAATTTGACATGTAGAAATGTGAGTAAATGAAAGTTCTGGTCCATATACCTGCATTTTTAAAAAATTGCATAGCAAATTTTAAGATACAGGTAACCCCCATATAACATGGGAGTTATATTCCAAAAATTGCTGTATTATGCAAATCCATGTTATATAAAACAAAGAACTAGTACGAAAAGGGGGGAAGGTTCCAAAAAGTAAAAAACATGCTATTATATTTTCATAATTAAGATAAATATCTTTATTAAAATTTTCTTAAGAAGTGATACATATTAATATAAATTAAACAATGTTTTCTTCATCATCACTAAGCGCTATTAACCAAGGGTGTTTTCTTTTTGGCAAGATATCCTTATCCTCTGAGCATTTTTCTGCATTATCTTCAGATCCATGCTCTACCTTTTGCAAAATATATGTTATTTTAGATTGCTTGCTTTTAGTTAAAAGATCTTTATAAATTTCCTTATATGGTGCTAAGTTCTCTTTTAAACTTTGTGCTCCTTTCATTTAAAGTATCTTCATTTAAGAAATATGACTAACTGTTTAGCTAAGCCTAGGCCTTTATGCTTTGTAGAGTAAACTTTTTAACTTCTTTGTCTTCACCTGTGCTATCAACCTCTGAGTTATCATGGATTCCAGATATCATTTCTACCAAACATGTTTCATCAATTTCTTCTTTCACCAGTGATTCTTGGATATCTTGTGCAGTCATATCGTCAAAACCTTCCCCTCCTAGAGACTTAGCAATTTCTACTACTGCATCCATTCTGTTTTCTGCTGTCTCAATCAAATTTTTACTTTCAATTGACTCCGGCCATATTTTTTTCCAACAATCGTTTAATGTTGTCAGTTTTATTTCTCTGATGGATGAGTTTATTAGATTAATGCAGTCCAAAATTGTGAAGAGTTTCTATGCCTCCTTGACATAGATTCATTATCAATTTTGTTCAAAACCCGTTGTAATGATCTTCTTATGGAATTGGTTTTAAATATAGCTATAATTCCCAGATCTAATGGTTGAAGTAAAGCAGTTGTATTTGGAGGTAAAAAAATTATTTTGATATTTGGGTGATTTAAATCTTGCAGATGGCTGGGTGCATTATCCAATATAAGTAGAATTTTAAAATCTAAATTTTTCTGTTTTAAGTAGTTTTCCACACTTGGTACAAAACAGTTTAAAAACCATTTCTTAATTCAGTAGTCACTCAAACTTTTTTATTTGCTGCTCAGTATATTGGTAAATTATTCTTATTTAGGTTTTTCATTGCATGAGGATTGAGAGATTTATAAACCAGTATAGGTTTTACCATGTAATTGCCTGAAGCATTACTGCACATCAGTAATGTTACATGGTCTTTTGATACCTTGAAACCTGGTGCAACTTTTTTGTCTTTAGAAATATATGTCCTCTTGGGCATTTTTTTCCATCAATGAGCAGTCTCGTCGGCATTAAAAACCTGGTCTGTTGAATATCCACCCTCTTCAATAATTCTTTTTATTCCATTGGATAAATTTTGGCAGCTTCTTCATCGGTTGATGCACTTTCACCTTTTATTTTTAGGTTTTGTATTGATAAGCATTTTCTCATATGATCAAACCACCCTTTGCTGGCCACAAAATCTGGATTAGTAGCAGTTTCTCCATTTTCCTCTATGTAGTTGTAAATTTTCAAGGCTTTCTGTTTAATAATATTGGTGCTCAGTGGAATCTGCTTTTTTGAACAGTCTTCAATCCAGATGCTAAGGGCTTTTTCCATCTGCTCAATTATTTCTGCCCTAAAATGAGAGGTCATGTTTGAGGAAATAGAACAGCCTGCAGCAACGAAATCTCTAATTTTCTGTTTATTTTTTCTTATAGTCCTTATTGTCGCTTAATTTAAATCCAATGATTTGGATTTAAATTAAGCGAATGCAAGGATATGGCGACATATGATATCTTTTCTCCCTTTTTTGAGCCAATCTAAAATTTGTAATTTTGTTTGTATGGAGATGAAATGTCTTTTAAGAGACATTTTTTTATTTTCTGGGTGCATTATATTGGATAATGCACCCAGACATTGCTTAGGGCTACAGATTCATGAATATAAAAACATAATTATTATTTCTTTAAAAATGGTTGAGTACAGTACTACAGTACTTACCTGAAAACTTTCAATCTATGTAGCCAAAAGAGAGACACAATTAAAGTCTTAAAGTATACTTGTAAAAGTGTGGATTGTCCCAAGGGTTGGAGGTGCGGTTCAGTGCCTAAAAACCGGTGACGGAATAAAGCAAGTATGGAATAAGAGAAAAACATCTGGCAACACAAAAGCAGAAGTGTTGAGATCTGGCAACATGAGACAAGTTTTGATAAGGACCATGTGTATCAACAGAAGGCGAGAAAAGAGTTTACATACTTAAGTACTGATAGTTCATGAAAATTATTCAGGAAAATCTGATAGTATGTACGTACTCGAATGAAAAATGTCAAATGAGGTATCTTTTGCACTTAAAAGCTTTATCACGTTTATTGAACTGTTGTACGGGGATTTTCCTAATTTCAAATTAGATAAAGTTCACTTTTAATAGTTTTTATTACATTTCATGTTGTATAAGGGTTTTACCCAATTCTCAAACCATGTTAGAGTGAATCCATGCTATAGAAGTGCTGTGTTATATGGGGGTTACCTGTAGCTTCTTTGTTAGTGACATGGCTAACAGGTTTTTCCCTCTCTTTTATCATATGTCAGGACATCAGATTACTGTTTGCCAACCTGTTTGTTTTATATGGAACACTGATATAAAACAGACTTGTGGTCCATTCTGTAGTATGATAAATATATTAATTTTTATAGCATATAATAATTACAGTCAAACTTATTTAGTGTCACTTCCGAAATTGACATTAAATCCAAGTGTGACATTAAACCAAAGTACCTTAAATAATAATGAGGTTTACACAAATTTGAAAGTTGAATAATATTGATTGATTTATAATGAATGAAATTGAGTAAATTTTGAAATTAATTAATTTTAAAATATTTTTTAAAAGAGATAAAATGTTTTATGTACATATGTTTGTAAAACAATAGGGATTTAGCTGCAAGAAATTGTCTTGTTGGTTACAATAACAATGTAAAAATTTCTGATTTTGGAATGTCACGTGAAGAAGAAGAATATATTGTATCAGACGGAATGAAACAGATTCCAATTAAATGGACAGCACCTGAGGCACTTAATTTTGGTAAGTATATATTTTATAATAATTGCATATATGAAAATTTCATAAAATATTTAAGTATCAATGTAAAGGAAATATTAAAAAGTACAGGATCATTCAAAAGTCTCAGAAATTTTAAAAAATTAATAACTCACAAACTATTTACAGTAAGATGATGCAGTTTTCACAGAAATGCTTAGAAAGAAGCAGGATTTTTTATGTATAATAAATATTTCTTGCCATAGATGGTGCTGTAGCATTTGTAAATTTTTTAAAATAAGAATAAAAAAATAAAAATGTTCTTAGTGTAAGCTCTAGTAACAATTACACAAATTACCATATATCTCGGCAGATAAGACACTAGCTGAATCATAAGAAAAGGCCCCCAAAATCCGGGGTCATCTTATAGGATAGAGACAAAAAAATTAGATTGAAATTTATATAAATTAAAACCATTATAAAAAGACAGACAAACCGTAATTATTTACTAGAAGAGAGTAGAGTATGTGCACAAAATAGAATAGCCCATATGATGTTTTTGTGAATAGTCAAGGTCGTTATTCGAATGCCGAATTAGTGCCAATGTTTGCAACATTCGCAAGGCAGTGCTGCCAGATGCAAGAAAATAAAATTTGTTCATTTGAAAAATTACAAATAGGACATAATTCCGTATATGCTATACAGTATTATTATTCAGATGATGATCGCTGATCTAAACTAAATTCATAGGCTATTGATATTTGGAGGTCGTCTTATAGGACAGATATATGCTAAAACTATAAAACTTCGACGAAAATTTATACCTCATCTTATCTGAAGGTCATCTTATCTGCCGAGATATATAGTATATAATCTTATCAAGTGCCATCTATGGCAAAAAATGTAACTATTTTGGTACTAAAATTTTTATCGCACCTAAAGTAATCATGCTTCTTTCTAAGCATTTCTGTGAAAACAGCATCATCTTACTGTAAATAATTTGTGAGTTATTAATTTTTTAAATTTCTGTGACTTGAATCACTGTGTACGTATTATTATTATTATTTATTATTATTATTTTGTAAATATCATGTTCAGCTGATACTGGTTCCAAGTGCTATGTCAGACTTGTTTGGGTAATTATGTTACAAACTTATGTTGTTACAGAAATTCATAAACTGTTAAAATGAAACTTAGACAAGTATTGACTTAAAAAGCATGACACAAAAGAATTAGGAATCAAGTGTATCAATATTTATTTTTGCTTGTGTGATAATGGATTAAAATCTAATGATAAGACTATATGCAAATTTCAGTTAGTATGATGCACAAATATTGTACATGTTAAACAACAAAGCAAAATATGTTAAAAACTAGTGAACTTTAATAAATAATATTGAACGTGTGCTTATAACCAATTTATATTTAAACATCTTTCAGTTTTTTATCATTACATACCCAATTGGAAATATGGCATACTAGAAGAATAGCCTCTATCTTACCAATTGAGATAGGACTTCATGAGTAGACTGAGTATCATTGTGAAAAACTTCTCCTATTGGCTATCCTTTGATAGAAAATTTTCAGCAGATAAGAAGAAATTTGCTCTAAATAACAAAGGATTAAGTTTATTTTAAATAATAAAGAATTAGTTGCAGCTTCTGAACTAAAAACATTGAATAAATGCATTTTTTGTTCAATAAGATGCACTTTTTTTGTACCTAAAATTTATGTGAAAAAGGATGCAACCTATAATCTGAATATCTCTTATACCTCAATGAATATTTTCCCCAATAAATTGACATGAAAAATGTGATATGTCCAATGCAACAGTGTGTCTTATAAAGTGAAAAGTATGGTATATATCTAGAAAGCAAGTAGCTATGTTAATATCATATTTGTTGAATTCTAAAATGCACTGTGAATTTGAAATTTAGCTTTCAGTTTTTTATGGAGGAAAAAATTTTGAAATTATCATTTATTAAGTTTTGCTAAGTAACAAGTTAAAAACAATACAAATGCTATGAAATAAGTAATATTTGGCAACTCTTTTTCCAAGCTCTTTTGTATTTACAAAAGTCATTTAATTTAATGCTGCAAAATAATGTATTAAAGTCATTTAAACATTAAAATCAAGTACAGGCAGCCCTCGACTTTTGCACATAATTGGTTCCTGAAAGTGTGTGTGAATGTTGAATGTTTGAAAGTAGAGGGACATAAAAAAATATGCACCAAAAACTGTGTTTAAAATATTTATTCCTTAATTTTACTCTTATTTTTCAAAATTGCACATATAGATCTATTTACATCTTATGAATGTCCGATTGAAGCAAAAGATTCATCGTTTTCAGAACGTTTAATTATTTCCATCTTTGTCTCAATCGTATGAAGTTTATGAGTCCTTAATTTCTTTTTGATCATATCAACTCTGCAGTTTCTCTGTTTCTCACTCATGATTATTAATTTATAAGGATGAAATATTCAAACATAAACAAATAAATTGGCAATACACACAACACATTGATGCATACCCTAATTCAAGACTGAAACTGTTTTGAACTCTTGCTTGGAACAACACAGTAGTGATTAGGATTCCGAGAAGTCTGTTATTGTAGGAAGTAATGTGTGTCTGAGAATGTAGAGCAAGCTACTACACTCATACACTTTGTAGTGTATGAGTGTTCTGCATGGAAGGAAATTTTTTCATTATTGACAAAAATATTTAAAAACTTAAATTTTTCAAAATGTGTGAAATAGTGAATTGTGTGAAAGTCAAGGGCCGCCTGTAATTGATTATTAAAAATATCCAAACTGAAGATTTTTGTACTTTCACCTTGTCAAAAAAGATTTATAACTGCACCAGAACCATCTGTTCAAGATTCATCACATGTTTTGACTTTTTTGGCTCTAATTAGACTATTGAAAAACTGAAAATACATTTTTCAATAAGTGGTGTATTGTACTTAAGTAATAAATAAATAAACATTTACTGAATGGAGAAGTAATAAGTATTTTGACTGATGTTTGCTAGAATAGCATTTTGATGACTCATTTTTACAAATCATATACTTCCCAAAAATTTCCATAATACAAGATGTTTTAGTCATAATTACATGATAATACTAAAAAAGTTTTAAATTAATGGAAATAAAATAATACAAAACTTACATTTTAGAAAGCTTAATGCCACTTAAAATACAATAGGTATAACACTAATTGGTTACAAGCTTGGTATCTCTATTTTTTAACACTATCGTTGACTTATGGCTAAACCTCTGTTAAAAAATGTATAGATACTAAGCTTGTTAACCAATCAGTAGTAATCTTTTCAAAATGTAAGTTTTGTATTATTTTATTTGTATTAATTAAAACACTTTTAAAACATTGGTGTTAAATTTTAAATATTCCTAAATGTTTTTTGGTATTATTAATTTATGCACTATGGAAATTTTTGAAAAATGTATGATTTGTAAAAATGAGTCGTCTAAATGCTATTCTGTAGTAAACATCAGTCAAAATACTTATTTCCTTATTCAGTGAGTGTATATTTATTTATTTATTATTTAAGTATAATGTATCTTTTATTGAAAGATATATTTTCTGTTTATTTAATAGTCTGATGAAAGCAAAAAATACCAAAATATAATGAATTACAAATAAATAGTTCTTGTACATTTGTCTTTTTGCAAGAAGAAAGTATAAAAAACTTATCCAGTATGGATATTTTTCAGAATCATTTAATCAAAAGAACTATTTATTGACTCATTGACTATTTATAGGAATTAAAAAGGCATTTAAATTAAATACACATTACCAGAGAAGCTTATTTGAACTGTTGTGACTATTGAGTAGTATAGCCAAAAATGTTTATTATTGGTGCATAATACATCACATGGTGTATGAACAGTAATTATTGTTTGTTGTTTTGGACTGTGTATTTGGATATGTCTGTATTTTAGAAATGTAAAAATAAATTTAAATGTGTATCGTGGAATTGAGGAAATATGTTAATTTTAATTAAATATATTGACAATGTAATGATGAAAATTAATTTCTTAGGAAAATGAAGTCAATGGAGTAGATAGTTAATGTTTAAATCCTATTATATATTTAAAATATAGAATAAGAATAAGAATTGAAAGTATTATTAGGAACTGTCCAAATCCATAAATATTATTTTCATAAATGAATCCTATTAGCTGACGTAAAGTCAAAATATATTTTATTTTAAATTATCATATTATTACTATAGAATTAAAGTATAACTTATAAAAATCATTCTCTAAAACAATTTAATATTATTTAATTACTTTAAGGGAAATATACATCATTATGTGATGTTTGGAGTTATGGAGTTTTAATGTGGGAAATATTTTCTCTTGGAAGTACACCTTATTATGGACTTACTAACAGTAAAGCTAGAGAGCTTATTGATTCAGGTTAGTTTGTTTCAATAATTTTAATATAATAATCTCTTAACTTCTGATATGAAACTTTTCATATATGTATTGTTTAAAAATTACTTAACTATCAAACCTGAAATTTATAATATAAAAATATTTACAGACGATTTATAGAATATTGAACTTTGTTAATTTGATATCTTAATATCACATCATTTATCTAATCTTTTAAACAAAACTTATATTTTATTCTTCCTTTCATAAAATTTTGATTTTATATTTAAAATTTAGAAAACGGTTTTTATAATTTATATAAATATTTATTATTTAATAACTTTACTATTAACACACAGTAAAATTATTTGAATTTAAAAATATAGGTCTAATGAATTTTGAACTATTTCCTTATATGATTTTTACAAATAAAATTAAGGAAAAGTAAATCATTAATAAAGAAAAATTATTTCTATAATTATACTGATCTCCCCCATGTTCTTGAATAGTTGGGACTGAGTAATCTTTCATGAACATTGAATTCTCAAACTTTGAGTTCTATTTTCAATGTTAAATTTGTAATTTGTTCCAAAAGCTTTATGTATTTCTGTTGTTTTAAAAAAAATTAAGAAAGATGAATAATTTTATTAAATAAATGTAGTATATTTAATAAAATAATATTAAATTAAATAATATTATAATAAATATATTATATTTATTTAACAAAATTATTCAATGGTTTATAGTGCTTCAAAAGTCATTTTATTTAAGCCAAAAGAAAAAATAAACAAAACCATAACATAACTTATGATAGATACCATATGAATGAGTACAGTGATCTTTTAGCATTGCATCTGTTTGTCTGTTTTGTTAAAAATGTCTGTGTATTGTTAAGCTTATTTCATTACCTTCAAATTTTAAAAGAAAAGTTCATACAAATTTTAACATATTAGGGTGGATCAAATGAAAATGGAACAGTAGCCATTATTTATTTTCAAGTGTAATCACCAAAATTACACAAGCACTTGTCCCACTGTTGCACCAAGCAGTGAACACCTCGTTCGTAGAAAGAGTTTGGCTGAGATTGAAACCAGTTTCGAACAGTGTCCATGACTTTGCTCTTCGATTGAAAACATCGACCCCACAATGCTATTTTTAGCGGACCAAAGATGTGAAAGTCACATGGTGAAAGGTCGGGGCTGTATGGTGGGCGTTCCAACACACTCCACCGAAACTTTGCAAGCATGCTCAGTGTGTGAGTGACCATATGTGGCCGTGCATTGTCGTGGAGCAAAAGCACTCCAGAGGACAATGAAAACAGTGTACGGAGAACACTATTTTCATTGTCCTCTGCACATCACAAACTCCAACACCCTCTGCCACTAAAAAGTGAATAACACTACATTGCTCTTCTTTAGTCACAAACATGATGCAGACTGATTGCTTGCCGGATGACACTCCTGGCTGACTGCCAGCTCATACCATGTGGTTGCGCATGCTTACCAAGAGTGAGTCCATTCCTCAATAGGGTTTCTTCTCTTTCACCTCCCGCTCTACATCTACACACAGTTTTGTTACACTCACATACACATACACCAATTTATGACCACTGTTCCGTTTTCATTTGATCCACCTTATATATTTAAAAAGCATCAAAAAATTAATAAAAGATTGAATTAGAATAAATATTACAAATAATTTTAAAGTGCAGTAGAGCTTTGCTTTTATGATCTAATTGATTCTTAGAAATGTAATTTTGTTTCTTTAATAACATAGAAATAATCAACAAACAAAAAATAACATGGTATTTATTAAGTTTTTATCTGTAACTAGTATAAATTATCTGTTTTGTAAAAGCTATAAAGTAAGCAGTCATTAATTAAGCAAGGCCTTCTGTATTATTAGATATTTATCCAAATACCTATTTGCTGACTAATCTGGCAAATAGATATTTGTATTAAAATAAATAAATTGGGCTTGAGGATTTCTTGTGTTTTGATAAAGATTTATAAATTATAAACGTTTTGAACATGGTGTATGAACAGTAATTATTGTTTGTTGTTTTGGACTGTGTATTTGGATATGTCTGTATTTTAGAAATGTAAAAATAAATTTAAATGTGTATCGTGGAATTGAGGAAATATGTTAATTTTAATTAAATATATTGACAATGTAATGATGAAAATTAATTTCTTAGGAAAATGAAGTCAATGGAGTAGATAGTTAATGTTTAAATCCTATTATATATTTAAAATATAGAATAAGAATAAGAATTGAAAGTATTATTAGGAACTGTCCAAATCCATAAATATTATTTTCATAAATGAATCCTATTAGCTGACGTAAAGTCAAAATATATTTTATTTTAAATTATCATATTATTACTATAGAATTAAAGTATAACTTATAAAAATCATTCTCTAAAACAATTTAATATTATTTAATTACTTTAAGGGAAATATACATCATTATGTGATGTTTGGAGTTATGGAGTTTTAATGTGGGAAATATTTTCTCTTGGAAGTACACCTTATTATGGACTTACTAACAGTAAAGCTAGAGAGCTTATTGATTCAGGTTAGTTTGTTTCAATAATTTTAATATAATAATCTCTTAACTTCTGATATGAAACTTTTCATATATGTATTGTTTAAAAATTACTTAACTATCAAACCTGAAATTTATAATATAAAAATATTTACAGACGATTTATAGAATATTGAACTTTGTTAATTTGATATCTTAATATCACATCATTTATCTAATCTTTTAAACAAAACTTATATTTTATTCTTCCTTTCATAAAATTTTGATTTTATATTTAAAATTTAGAAAACGGTTTTTATAATTTATATAAATATTTATTATTTAATAACTTTACTATTAACACACAGTAAAATTATTTGAATTTAAAAATATAGGTCTAATGAATTTTGAACTATTTCCTTATATGATTTTTACAAATAAAATTAAGGAAAAGTAAATCATTAATAAAGAAAAATTATTTCTATAATTATACTGATCTCCCCCATGTTCTTGAATAGTTGGGACTGAGTAATCTTTCATGAACATTGAATTCTCAAACTTTGAGTTCTATTTTCAATGTTAAATTTGTAATTTGTTCCAAAAGCTTTATGTATTTCTGTTGTTTTAAAAAAAATTAAGAAAGATGAATAATTTTATTAAATAAATGTAGTATATTTAATAAAATAATATTAAATTAAATAATATTATAATAAATATATTATATTTATTTAACAAAATTATTCAATGGTTTATAGTGCTTCAAAAGTCATTTTATTTAAGCCAAAAGAAAAAATAAACAAAACCATAACATAACTTATGATAGATACCATATGAATGAGTACAGTGATCTTTTAGCATTGCATCTGTTTGTCTGTTTTGTTAAAAATGTCTGTGTATTGTTAAGCTTATTTCATTACCTTCAAATTTTAAAAGAAAAGTTCATACAAATTTTAACATATTAGGGTGGATCAAATGAAAATGGAACAGTAGCCATTATTTATTTTCAAGTGTAATCACCAAAATTACACAAGCACTTGTCCCACTGTTGCACCAAGCAGTGAACACCTCGTTCGTAGAAAGAGTTTGGCTGAGATTGAAACCAGTTTCGAACAGTGTCCATGACTTTGCTCTTCGATTGAAAACATCGACCCCACAATGCTATTTTTAGCGGACCAAAGATGTGAAAGTCACATGGTGAAAGGTCGGGGCTGTATGGTGGGCGTTCCAACACACTCCACCGAAACTTTGCAAGCATGCTCAGTGTGCGAGTGACCATATGTGGCCGTGCATTGTCGTGGAGCAAAAGCACTCCAGAGGACAATGAAAACAGTGTACGGAGAACACTATTTTCATTGTCCTCTGCACATCACAAACTCCAACACCCTCTGCCACTAAAAAGTGAATAACACTACATTGCTCTTCTTTAGTCACAAACATGATGCAGACTGATTGCTTGCCGGATGACACTCCTGGCTGACTGCCAGCTCATACCATGTGGTTGCGCATGCTTACCAAGAGTGAGTCCATTCCTCAATAGGGTTTCTTCTCTTTCACCTCCCGCTCTACATCTACACACAGTTTTGTTACACTCACATACACATACACCAATTTATGACCACTGTTCCGTTTTCATTTGATCCACCTTATATATTTAAAAAGCATCAAAAAATTAATAAAAGATTGAATTAGAATAAATATTACAAATAATTTTAAAGTGCAGTAGAGCTTTGCTTTTATGATCTAATTGATTCTTAGAAATGTAATTTTGTTTCTTTAATAACATAGAAATAATCAACAAACAAAAAATAACATGGTATTTATTAAGTTTTTATCTGTAACTAGTATAAATTATCTGTTTTGTAAAAGCTATAAAGTAAGCAGTCATTAATTAAGCAAGGCCTTCTGTATTATTAGATATTTATCCAAATACCTATTTGCTGACTAATCTGGCAAATAGATATTTGTATTAAAATAAATAAATTGGGCTTGAGGATTTCTTGTGTTTTGATAAAGATTTATAAATTATAAACGTTTTGAAAGTGGATATTATTATTATTATTATGATTAATTTTTAGGTTACCGTTTGCCATCGCCTGAAAGCACACCTGTTGGTGTATATGAATTAATGTTAAGATGTTGGGAATATAATCCAGAAAGAAGACCACATTTTCAAGAAATAAGAATGACATTAGAAAATATTACAAGTAACATGGAAAAATTTAGAATACAGATTTAGTAATTTATAAATTATCTTATTCTTCATCAAGTTTAATTATGTATATAAACAAAACTTATTTCTTAATTACTGTCACTTTAGATTTTATATTTTCTATGTTTTTATCATTTTCTCATAAAAATTTTGTAAATTGTATTTAAAAAAAGGTTAGTGATATATTGTACAATTCTTGTAAATCATAAAATGAGCCCATGGACCAATGTGAGAAATACAGATATATTAGTATATTAAGAAAAAATTTTTATGTTGTATATGAGTGAACTTTTCTTAAAAATTTCTTTTTATATAATTAATGGATAATTTTTGAATTTAAAACAATATTGATTTTAAGTTTATATCTGAGTCTAGCACATAGATATAACTCAAAATTTAAAAATTATTCATTATTTTTATTTTATTTTTTTAATTTTAACAAATATTTTAATGCATTTCTTTTTCACTTTTTAATATTTATTATATTTTATTTTTTTTAGAGAATATATTTATATTTATATTCTGTATCTACGGTTTATCTTTACTATGTTAATAGAACAATGAACAAGCAGCACACTTTCATTTATAATCGTTTATTTTTTTAAGAGATTTTATATGGCATTATCTATTGTAACAAATGTAAATCATCTGTATATTTTTGCTAATGTGTTGATAAGAATTGTTAAGAAGTACTGTCTGTTTTGCACAGATTGAGCAAAATACCATATTATATATAGTATTTTACAGTTAAATTTTGTCTTATTCAGATTGCATGTAAATATTTAATCAGAAAATTTTTTACTGTAATGATGCTTTATGTTTTTGTAGTGTTCATAAAAGGGTAAGCTAAAATGTAAAAATGTAATGAGTATTTAAATTCTGACTATCACATTTAAATAATATAATGTGAGATTTAATTTATGTTAATTTAAAAAATAAGATATATTAATTCTAAACTGTCCATTGAATAAGGTATTTGCTTGGCATATCTAGTCTGCCAATTTATTGATATTTTGAAAACAAAAAGTTCTAGATTATTTTCATCTATTATTAAGTTAATTGAATTCAGAACCAATATCTAATATATAATTATTATTGAAGATTACTGGTTATAAATTACCTTGTCTCTAGATGATTGTCTAAAAAATTTACTAGTAAATTACATATTTAGTATTTAAATTTATTATTAAAAATTGCAGTATTCATTCATTTAATTTACTTTTTCTTGCTCCAAAACTGTAAAAATGCTTAAAAATTTTAAAATATTTAAATATTTTATCAAATATTAATCAAATTAAAATTTAGAATAACTGAAACCAATATAAGATAGTTTTAAACAGTTTTACTATTTTAAGAACATGAAATATTCAACAAAATCTTGCATTTGAAGTCATTAACACATCGTGTTATATAAAGTCTGAAAATTGGCAACATTGTATTTCAGTTAAATAATGTGTATGGCAGCTTTTCAAATAAGATCTTGCAAAGGTACAGGATTAATTTAACTTGTCATAATTAAATAATAATTATCATGCATTTAAAAAACATTATTAAGTAAACAAAATATGTACATAAAATACAATTATAAATTCTGTGTTTTTTATATATAATGAATGATCCACAATTAATTTTTTTAATTGTAATTTTTGATAAATATAAAATTAATTTTAATAATAAAACATGGCAAAATACTTTTCATATATTTTCTAATAAAAATTTTAAATAATTTTTGATGTTTAAAGATTACTTTTATAACTATTAATTAAATATATTAATAGCTACATAATTATGAGACATCGATCAAAATCAACTTCTGAAACTAGAAGTAAATAAAAAAGAAAAAGTTAAGACAATTTTAAGTAATCTACTTTTTGCAAAATTAAATTTCTTGTTAGATTTTATTAGATAAGTTTAAAATGTAAATTATTTTGATACTGTAATATATGCTTAGGATGCTTCAAATAATTTGATACAATCTTTATCATATTTCTATGCAAATTATATTTTATATTATGATTTTCAAATAGAATTATTAATTTCTTGTTTGGATGATTTTAAGATAACAAGTTAACAGCTGCTGCTCACTGGATAATAGTACAGTAGACACAGCTTAAACAACCTTTGTAGATCTAGAACAAAAATTTCAAAAAGATTTTTTCAAAATTAAAGTTTCATTCTGGATCTACAAAGATTGTTTAAGCTATGTGTACTATTTTTATTTTAAGATATTTATAATTGCTTCTGATCATAAAATTACCAAAATCTTGCATTTTGATTTCTCATTATTTGTTCTCAAAATAATATATAATAAAATAGTCAAAAGTATTTTTTTTCTTTTAAATGTATTTTTTCAGACTATACTGAGGAATCTTTTACTTCAGAAGTAATTAATTGTTGAATGCGTAGAATAGTTAACTAAGTGCAGTAGAATCTGAAAAAGTTGTGAAGTTAATAAGGAACTTAAATGATTAAGATTTGGATTAACTTATTTGACACATTTAATATATTCTACTATAATCATCTATTTTTCTCTCTTGAAAATTTAAACTAAATTATTGCCTGTTTTATATTGGAATGGTTATAACATAAATAATCTGTTAATTTGTATAAATTTAAGAAAATTAATGAAGCAAATTTTCTTAAATTTATACAAATTAACAAATTATTTTCTTTGAAGTTAAATGCATATAATTTTTATTTGAAGATATAGAATAAATAAATTAAAATAAAACCTCTAAACTGATTCTAAATATTTTTTACAAAACATGGAAAAATTGAAATTATTTAAAACATGCTAATGTTGTTGGTCATAAACTTACTTGTTAAAATATTTGACAAATAATTATAGCCTATAAATTTTGGTCAGGGAAATTAAACCATTTTATAAAGTGGATATTGCCTTTTATACTGAAAAGTACTGTGATGATTGTTTTACATCCTAATAGATAAAATGTGTATTTAAATGTTAAATTTTGTTTATATCATTAATATTTCTGTTAAATTATTGCAAAATACTATAATTAATTTTATTGTGTAACAGAATAGAGAATTGAATGCATTTTTTTAATTTTAACCATAATAAATAAATATATTTTCTTAAAATAGTTTTTATAAATACAGAATATATTAGAATATTTTATTTTCAATATATTCTTGTGGATTTTATAAGGAAAAAATTTACAGAATTTTATTTTTAAAATATAATGGCTTGCTTTTTCCTAAATCTCTTTTTATAATAAATTTTACAAATTTTCTTCATGTATTTTTGATATAAAAGATCTTTAACCTCATACAGCAGTATTTCCAGAAAATGCATCATTACCAAAATTATGAACTTAAGTATTACTTTATTTGTAATTAACATATTTCTTAGTAATAAAACATAACATAAAATCAGAAAATAATAATGTGATAAAAATCAAAGATAAGTATTCAAATATAAATAAATAAATGAAAAATAGGGAAAAATTATTACTTATTAAGCCGAAGAAAAATTTTTGTTTTTATAATATTACAGATATAAAAGAATTTTTTTATAAATGATATAAATATATGCATTATTTTTTTACTATTGTAATTACTATTTAAATAATTTCTTTCAGAAAATTAAACTTTTTAGAGTAGAGCGTCATTTATCCAAATCAATTGGGGGCTGGGGTTGTTCGGATAACTTATTTTTCGGATAACCAATTATGTACGAAAAAATATATTAATTTATCCCATGTTGAAATTTTTCTCTGTTGCATGTCGCTTTGCGTTGAATTTTCGTTGATGTTAAGCCTAACGAAGACTATTGTGTCGTTAAAAATTATTTTTTTATTTTGTACAAACAAAATAAATATATTGAAAAATACAAAAACAATAAACAATTATACTTGAGAAGTTAATTTAGTATCAAAAACGTAAAATATTTGAGTAGCCAAAGATTACAACGCCACAGCACTGGCGAAAATTTAAATTTGTTGACTGGAATTCCTTCGGATAACCGACCTTCAGATAAACAACGCTCTACTGTATATTGAAATTTTTCTGAATAAATTGAACATTGCTCTCTAGTGAATGATACAGATAAGAATGTTTACCATAAATAATCAGACTATAAACAAATTTATTTATGAAACTATTCAAAAAATGTATACAAAATCATGACTTTATATACAGTAAGATCACACTTAACTGGGGGATGTGTTCCTAGACGACAAAGCGCTAAGCGAAACAGCATTAAACAAGGTCATTTTAACATAGAGTAAATAGGGATAGGGGAACACGCAACCAAAAATAAACAAATTTTACTTTAATTTTAAGTTATTTTTATATTAATTTGTATAATAATATATGTTAAATAACACATAAACATATGCACACAGAAATGTAAAGTTCATTTTTTGCAATGAATGTCCTGACTTTTCTGAAATTCTTGTTATTTGTGATAAAGTTATGCAGTTTCATTTGTCGCTTTTTTCTTTCCTTAAGCAAATATCAGTCGTAGAAGATCTCATCCAAAATGCCTCATTTTGCTTTTGCACTCTTTTCAAAATCTGGATCATTTGCTACAATTTGATGAATGATTTTGGTTGTCATTACCAAACCTTTACTATGGAAATCTGTAGAGAAATTTTTTGGGTTCTTTGTTTTCAGAATCTCTATTTTCCAGTTCCATGTTCTGCTAGTTCTTGAAGGTTGTCATTGGTAATGCTCTCACCAGAAACATGCTGGAACTCCTCCATATCCTGCTCATCTATATCTCCTAGTCTTGCTATATCGATTATGTTGAGTTTCAACCTAATGATACAGCGATAGGCTCTTCTCATTGAGAATTCTTGAATACCTTTCGCCATAATTTCTTCCACATTTCGTTCGTGCATTTATCAGTTAATTCTTGCCAAGTGAAGTTGATATTTCCTATGGCATCCAGGATGTTATATTTTTTCCAAAATTGCACCAAACAAACAGAGATTTAAAGAAAGTACACCTTTTTGCCACCTTTTGCTGATTGGTTTGTGTTCGCAAATAATTGTATTATATATGTATCAATAAAATGATGCAATAATTTAA